CAGTCACTATCCTCCCTTGTATTTATCCATATGTTGTAGTTATCCTAATCATTATAGGATTAGGATAATCATCCCCTTTATTGTTGTAATCCTTATCTCCTAAGGAATATGCTTATTCTCTTGTATGTATATATATGTATGTGCACGTGATGAATAAGATATACAGAGTTACAACCTTCTTCTTTATTCTATAACAATAATGATGTTCTAACTAACTGTATTAACTGTATTGGGCCTTGTGGAAGAAAAGCCAAAGCCCATGAATTATGAAACTAATGGATTCAACGATTCTACAAGTCAACTATCGACATCTACATTCCAAAGATGGTTCAAAACGTGTACGTTTTTTTCATAACTAAAATTTGGAGTTGTTCACCATCTTCCACAAACCCCTCTCTTTCTCAATGCCTCTCCTCTTCTTCTCACGTCGTTTTCTCATCTTCTCCACCGTCATCCCCTTCCTAATATCCATCGCTCTCTACCAACTCGACACCTTCGACCCATCTCATCTTCCCGCCGATGCACTCCTCTACTCTACTACTTCCATTCCTCCGCTTATTAACAACCAACTTCTCACCGGCGCTGAGTTTATCGGCGTCGGTCTTCTCAACAAGCCCGAGGATATCGCCTACGACATAGACTCAGGTCTTATCTATACTGGCTGTGTAGATGGATGGGTGAAACGAGTTAAGGTTATGGAGTCAGTTAATGACTCTGTGGTAGAGGATTGGGTCAATACTGGCGGTAGACCACTTGGTCTAGCTTTTGGACTACATGGAGAAGTCATTGTAGCTGACGCATACAAGGTTTGGTGGTTCGTGATTTTTTATAGATATTGAATTGTTTTGAAATATCTATTTATTTATTTGTGTTTGTTAGGGGCTGTTGAATATAAGTGATGACGGTAAGAAGACGGAGTTGTTGACGGATGAAGCGGAAGGAGTGAGATTTAATCTCACCGATGCAGTGGCCGTTGTAGATAACGGCGTTTTGTATTTCACGGATGCTTCTTACAAGTACGATTATAGTCAATCCAGCTTTGACTTTTTGGAAGGCAAACCGCATGGTCGGCTCATGAGCTTTGATCCCACGACACGAACAACACGTGTTCTTTTAAAAGATCTTTATTTCGCTAATGGTGTCTCTATGTCTCCCGACCAAACACATCTGGTCTTCTGCGAAACTCCCATGTCCTCTTTCTCTCTCTCTCATTACATTCTCTCTCTTTTTTTTTTTTGTATTTAATCATCATCATCTCAAAGTTGCTTTCTTGTTGTTCTCAGAAGAAGATGTAGCAAGTATTACATAAAAGAGGAGCGTGTGGAGGTATTTATTCAAAGCTTACCCGGTTATCCTGATAACATCCGGTACGATGGAGATGGACATTACTGGATTGCAATGCCTACGGTATTTCTTAGGAAACTGAAATCCCTTTTTGATGTTTATCACTAGTTTGTTGAATCAAATATTAGATTAGACGAAGAATTGCCTCTAGTTTTAACTAATCTTTTGTGCATATGTGTACAGGGAGTTACAACGTTGTTGAAGCTCTCAATGAAGTATCCAGTTTGGAGGAAAGTCACAGCCATGGCGGCTAAGTGGGGCTTCAATCTTATGTTTGCGGAGGATGCTGGCGTTCTACAGGTGGATTTGGAAGGGAAGCCCATTGCATTATACCATGATCGTAAAATTACTCACTTAACTACTGGAATCAAGATTGGGGAATATCTATATTGTGGGAGTCTATTGCATTCACGCATACTCCGACTACATTTCCTGAAGTATCCTGCACACAAGAGTCTTTGAAACATCAAGTTTTTCAGTTCAAAACAAAAAAAAAATCAACTTGTTATACATCATTTTAGCTGATAAGAGCAGCAGCATCAATGAACCCCACCAGGGGTTCATGATTTCAATATTTTAATTTTTTTTTTTTTTTCGTTTTGACTTTTTCCTTAAAAAAATAAAAAAAAAAAATAGAAAAGGGACTAATAGCGGGCCGCCACGTGGCGTGGGGCCCATAAAAACAGGTATGAATCGGTTCAGCAGAGTGATCCCTCACGAGCTGGAGTTCATCAAGATGTATTATTATAATATTTTTTTTATTTGGGGAAGTGTGTGAACCTTGGGATGAACTCTTGATGCTGATGCTCTAACAATGAAATAATGGTTGTGAATACTTGTGATAATACTATCTTTCTCTTTTGAGTTTTAGTAGGCAGTAGCATGAAACATTGATTCCAAACACATACACGGTGTAAGACACACTCTAATATAAAACCGGTTCTAGTTTGTGGAGATTGAAACAATTATGGTATGGAGAACCAATTATTCGGAGACGGGAAAATATACTAGACATAATTAAACATATTGAAACATTAGAGATGAAAAGGGATGTTTTGTTCAGCTGATCTCATGACCAGCATGCATATACACAAGTGGTAAAAAGATATAAATCTAGTAGAGTAGTTAGTAAGCTTTCAAATCAAAATCAATTGCTAATTGGGTATTGTCAAGAAAAAGACAAAGTGGTTGGATACTCATACATGAATTTACTTATATGAAATACTTCTTTCTATTTTATTTTACTTATCTGTTTTAAATTTGTGCATACAAATTAAAAAAATATTTAATTTTTTTATATTTTTGAAATAAAAATATCATTATATATACACCTAATCACATTTCAACCAATAAAAAATAGATTAACATATAAACTAATAAATTTTACATTAAAACTATAAAATGACATTTAATTAAAAACAAAAATTTTATTGAGAAATTAGGACGTACACCAAAGAACTTATGTGTATTTAGTGATTTACCAAATTCTACTATTTGCCCTTCGATTGTGTATTTTATGGACTCTGCTACCCCTATATTGGACAGTGTTAAAATCTATGGCTACATGTAGACATATCGACAAAAAGATGTTATTCTCTGCACCCAAATCTTCATCAAGATAAAGTTTACCAATTTTCTTAAAATTTTTAAAAAATTTGGAATTTAAAATTGTTTCCTATTTTCCTCTTTCATCTCTTTACTTGCAGCTAAACCCCGACCATTTCATCTATACTAATAATTTTGAAACTCAATTTCTTCTGATTAGAAACATGGATTACAGTTGTTTATCCTCTCAAAATAGAAGGAGTTGACGAGTTAGCACCACTTTGTTTACAACCGAAGAGGATTTTTCCAAGGAGAAGAACCAGTTGGTGTTAGGATAACACAGTATCAGAAATCTTGTCATACTAGACAAGTACTTTAACGCTCTTGAAGTGCGTTGATGTTAGCCGGGTACCTTGGTTTCACTGCTCAAATCCTTAACATGGTCAACCAAAGTTGTAAATCTAGAACTTCCGATTAGCTGGCTAATATCATATTTGAATGGCTACATATGTTGATACCCGTATAAGGGTAAATCAAGATATGTAGTATGCATGGTTTAGTGTTTAGGGCTTATTGTTTACGGTTAAGGGTTTATCGGTTAAGGGCTTATTGTTTCTAGAGATGATTTCTCCCCGAACCGATAAACCCTTAACTGTAAACAATAAGCCCTAAACACTAAACCCTACATACTACATATCTTGATTTACCCTTATACGAGTATCAACATATGTAGCCATTCAAATAGGATATTAGCCAGCTAACCGGAAGTTCTAGATTTACAACTCCGGTTGACCATGTTTACGATTTGAGCAGTGCAACCAAGGTAGCCGGCTAAACAGATATATGACCATGTTCAGAAAATCATCAAAATATGATTAAAAAATCATTTCGAAATACACTTTTCGAATTTGAAACATATAGAATTTAAATATTTACCCATGGGTTCATTGATCCATAGGGGGAGTTTTTGTTTAGATTAGATCGCTTGGGAATGATTTATTTGGGATTTTCATTAAATGGTTAAGGGTATAAAGATTAGTGGAGGATATAAGTGATTTAATTTTTTTGGATTCATTATATGCTCCAATAATCTTTATACCCTTCACTAATCTGCATACCCTCTACTATGTTAAGGGTTTTTTGTTCATTATATCCTCCACTAATCTTCATACCCTTCCCCATTTAATGGAAATCCCAAATAAATCCTTCCCAAGCGATCAAAACTAAACAAAAACTCCCCCCTATGGATCCGTGAACCCATGTAAATAGCCGTACAAGCAATTATTTAAACATCTTTCATGTAAACATCCAAATAGACTCCAACAATGTAAATAGCCGTACAAGCAATTATTTAGACGGTTAGGCACTTGTATAAGTACAGTTTGTAATCTTATTAAGATAAAATCAGTCCAAAGATATTGTCTATCTAAACATCCAAAGAGATATCCAACAAAGTAAATAGCCCTCTAAACAAATACTTAGCTGGTTAGTAACCATGTAAAGGTAAATACTACAACTGATATCTTTCATGTAAACATCCAAATAGACTCCAACAATGTAAATAGTCGTACAAGCAATTATTTAGCTAGCCAACTTCATTTTAATGAATCTGTGTGCATCGGTCCAGCGTATGGGGTTCAAGGGTTTATCATGTGGGATGTGNCATGTAAAGGTAAATACTACAACTGATATCTTTCATGTAAACATCCAAATAGACTCCAACAATGTAAATAGTCGTACAAGCAATTATTTAGCTAGCCAACTTCATTTTAATGAATCTGTGTGCATCGGTCCAGCGTATGGGGTTCAAGGGTTTATCATGTGGGATGTGAGTATATTGTTTAGGATTTACGTTTTAGTGTCAGGGTTTAGGGTTCAGAGGTTAAGGGTTATGGTTTAGGATTTAGGGTTTACGACATAGGGTTTAGGATTTAGATCTTAGGTTTAATGTTTTTTAGTTAGGGTTTATGGTCTAGGTTTAGGGGTTAGAGTTTAGGGTATATGTTTTCGTGTATAGGAGTCGGGCTTCCAGAAATAAATTCATATACATCACTAGGATATTAAAATTATGGACCGTTAATATTATGTTTGGATATCTTTCATATTGTTAACCGGCTCATCTATTTATTAATCTTTAATTTATACACGCTAACAAAATTGGTAGTCATTGTGAAAAAACTTACTATTAGTATTTGTGGATGGTTATTAGGACCAATAACCGTCCAATCCAGAGTGTACACATATGTATGTGTGGATGGTCACTACCACAAGTAACCGTCCAATCCCAATTGTAGACATATGTGTGTCCATGTTAGCAACTCACCTTCATTGTTCTGAGCAAACGTGGTCTGGTCTAGTCTACCAAGATTGTTCATTGGTTTAGGGGTTAGGATGATCTCTTTAACACAAAGTGGAGGACGGTATAGGGTTCATGATTTAGACAGCCCCAAAGTGGAGGACGTACAAATACACATCTATATACACATTTTTTGTAATTAGAGGAGGTAAATCTTTGGCCTTGATTCGTTTTTCCCATGCAGCGCTTGCGTCAGAAATTGCGTGGACAAGAAGGTTTCTGCAGTTAACACTATTTAAGTGTGTTTACCAATGCAATCTAATAATATTATCTAATATCTAAACAAAATCTAAAGAAATCTTCTACACCTATAAACCCTACACAGTACCTAAGTCCACGGAAATTGAGGACATTTCTGTCATCAACCATATACCAATCTCTACAACTTTTTGAGTCACGTACTGTTATTGGTATACTCTTAATTTGCACTTCTTTCATGGTTTTTGACCCAATTTACTCAATTTTATTCTACCACGACTATTAAATTGAAGCGGATATCAAATAGTCAACATGGTAACGAGTGGGATCGAACCGTGGCCTCTAGGAAGCTATAGGTGGCTTCTAAAAATATTCAGTGGTGGCCCACTAAAAATAAACAGACTTGATCGAACGCAGAATAATCATTTGCACGTTCCTACGCATAAATTCCATATTTCAATTAATTCCCTCTCATATCCTTCTCCTCCGACGTTTCCCCGGCGAAAAAGCTTCAGATCTCAGGTAATTCCACAATCCTCTCTCCTCCAACCATCTCCCTTAGCTTTCAACGATTCGTGAATCTTGCATCCATCTCTCTCGTTGATTTTTTTTTTCAGTATGGAGGGATCAGAATCTCGGAACAAACTACATTCCCGATTACGCCTATGGGAGTTCCCCGATCAGTACGTGATCGAGCCAGCTGATGGCTCAGGCGCTCCCTGTCTAGACATCAGCCGCGTCGACGCTTCCATGAAGCTCATCGGTTCGATTCTTCTTCCTCTCTTCCCAAACGTTTTCTTGAAATCAATTGTTTTTGCTTTTCTTAGACTCTTTTCCATTTGCGTCTCAGATCAAGTCTCGGAATGCAAATCCTTGCGTGTTCCTAAAATCCATTTGATATCTGGTGTGGTTGGGATTTTAAAGCTTCTTGCAGGTATAATTAATCATAATTGGATATCGATAGATATTCTTGGAAAACTATTTTAGATTGTGATGTTGTTGTTTTTGATTTTCAGGATCGTATTTGGTGGTTGTGACGGAGAGTGAGCGGGTTGGGTTGTTTCTAGGGCATCCTATTTTTAAAATTAGGTCGTTGAAGGTTCTTCCTTGTGATCATTCACTTAAGAACTCTCCTGAAGAACAGGTAAAGAAAGAGAATAAAAACTCTGTTGTATCAGTTTTGGTGTTAGTAGTAATGATGGATTTTGACTGTCAACGAGCATTCTGGCAGAAAAAGATGGAGTCTGAGTTCTCCAAGCTTCTTAGTGTCGCAGAAAAGACTACTGGGCTCTACTTCTCATATGAAGTTAACTTAACACTGAGGTAAATTGTTTTTTTTTCTTTAAAGGATCTTTATGTTGGTATAGGTATGTTGTAGTACGGTTATAAGGCTTGCACGTAACAATTTTATCTGAAAGTAGTCTAACATGCTACCTTTTAGAAAGACTCTGTTGCTTTTTCCTTTTAGTTTGATCATTTGTTTTGTGATTTTAGCTCGCAGCGCTTGCATGATTTGGGTGCTGAGTCTAAGTCGCTTCCTTTGTGGAGACAGGTGATCGTATTGCTACTTTTGTGAAATCGATCAAACTTCCTTTTTAACATTAATTACTTAACCGAACCTCGGCTGAGGTGCCCGCCATCACGAGTTCAAGTCCCGGCCACAGCGGATTTAACATGGTTTCCGTTTGGCCTTCAGGACCCCTTCGGGGGATAGTCGGGTCTCTAAATAAGCCCCGGACACCTGAGTTATCAAAAAAAAAAAAAAAAAACATTAATTACTCGTTCCATGTTGCTAGTTTGTGACTTCTTTGGTGATGTATCCTTTTTGACAGGCTGAGCCGAGGTTTCTTTGGAATAATTACATGTTGGAAGTTCTTATCGATAACAAGGTGAGTGTATTTCTAAGCTTCTCTAATCTTACTTTCACAGCTCCGTGTTTTTCGTACTTACAGAATATCTCTTATTTTTTTTCTTACGTTTGCAGCTTGATCAGTTCCTGCTTCCAGTAATTCAAGGGAATATCCTTTTTTATCAGTTGTTTCACTCCCTTGTCTTTTACTTACTCTACGTGGCTACGTTTTATTATTGAGTAGATCTTTCCTTAACCCTTTGTCACGTTTTAGTAGTTTTGAAACAGCTATTGGAAAAGATATTGTTGACATTACTCTGATTGCAAGAAGATGCACTCGGAGAAACGGTACATATTTCTCCCTGCTAGTCTTACCTGTACAATCCCAAAGAGTGAGAAGTTTTCACTATACTGTATTGATGTCTAGCGTGATTGTTTAAGTAGGTTTCTGGGACTTTAATCATTTGTTTGACTAATGACTACTATGATCTTTCTCTTAGATCACTATAACAAGGAATTCATCAGAACTTGATGGGAATTGCTTTTAGAATGGGATAGTTTCAATAGGTTTTATTGTATCGATGTCTAGCATGATTGTGAAGTAGGTCTCTAGAACTTCAGTCATTTGTTTGACTACTAGGATCTTTCTCGTAGATTACTATAGCAAGGAATTCAACAGTACTCGATGGGAATTGTTTTTAGAATGGGAAAGTTTCAATAGGTTCTAGATATGTAGGAGATGTATATGCCCTTGCCTGCGGGAAATTTAGATGACAAGCATCGCAGTGTGACTGTGACTTCCCCCTTGTCTTTGATCATTCCAAGGTACACGTATGTGGCGAAGAGGAGCTGATCCTGATGGCTACGTTGCAAATTTTGTGGAGACTGAGCAAATTGTACAGATGAATGGATATTCGTCATCATTTGTTCAGGTGTGGTTTTTAACATGCTCTCATTGTGATTTCCCTTATGCTGCAAATCTTTGAGCATTTTATATATTACCATTCACATTCTTGTATTTTTGCATACTGCTCTTCTCAATCCATGATTAATTCTTGATGTTATTTTACCTCCTCCATTTGCAGGTCAGAGGATCGATGCCTTTTATGTGGGAGCAAATCGTAGATCTGACTTACAAGCCCAAGTTTGAGATTGTCCAACCTGAAGAAGCTGTGAGTTCTAATTTCTAATTAAAAAAATTATTGTTCTTTACTTCTTTAAGTAATTTGCATTGGGTGCTTCTCTTGCAGACGCGGATAGCTGAGCGTCACTTTTTGGACCTAAGGAAAAAATATGGATCAGTTTTGGCAGTTGATCTTGTCAATAAGGTACATACTCTTTCAAATTGACATGATATTTGTCTCAAGATGTAGCCATTATGTTTGCGAGCTCTTCTTGGTCTTTATATTCCTCAATTGCTTCTTCTCTGATCAGCATGGAGGTGAGGGGCGCTTAAGTGAGAAGTTTGCTAGTATAATGCAGCACATTACTGGCGATGAAATAAGGTAGTTAATATGTTGTCTAAATATGCTTCTTAGATCGTTTATATCATATTGTCTCGAACTCATTTAAAGAGCTGCCTTCTCCTGTAGATACCTGCACTTCGATTTCCATCGCATCTGTGGGCACATTCATTTTGAGCGCTTATCAATTCTGTACGAGCAGATTGAGGGTTTTCTTGAACAAAATGGGTATGGACTTCTTTGAACAAATCCAGTTATATAATTTTGAAATAGAAATAATTATAAAAAATTGTCATGTGATTTTGCATTCTATGAATTACGCAGGTACTTTCTGGTAAATGAAAAAGGTGATAAGATGAAGGAGCAGCTTGGTGTAGTCCGAACAAACTGCATAGATTGCTTAGACCGTACAAATGTCACCCAGGTTAGTCTTAATAATATGAAGATGCTGCTCTTACCTCATTGGTCTTTGCTCAACCATGCTGCATACTTCCTGCCATGTGCAGAGCATGATCGGTCGAAAGATGTTAGAACTTCAACTCAAAAGGATTGGTGTTTTTGGCGCTGAGGAAACCATCAGCTCGCATCTGAATTTTGACGAGCGCTACAAAATATGTCAGTCTCTTGGCTTTTTATGAAATCTGATAAGGCAGTAATGAGTGTACAATTTAGAAATTTTGCTCATGTGCTTTCACCTTTCAGTATGGGCTAATCACGGTGATGACGTTAGCATTCAGTACTCTGGTACTCCTGCACTTAAAGGAGATTTCGTCAGGTAACTTTTTCATATGTTTAATCTCAGGTCTGAAAATGTCCTACCTTTTAAGGAAATATGCCAGTCAATTTAAGAAGGGAGTGTTTTGTATATTTACGTTACGAGCCATCTCATGTGTCTCAAACTGGCTCAATTTGTTAGGTATGGGCATCGGACTACCCAAGGTGTCCTTAAAGATGGTTGGAGCTCCCTCGTACGCTACTACCTGAATAACTTTGCTGATGGAACTAAGCAGGTCAGTGGATTTTCTCTTAGTAACTACACTTGTCCCTGGATCTGGAATGCGTCCTGACGCTAGTTCGGTTTTGGTTGTTTGCAAAAGGATGCGATTGATCTCCTGCAAGGGCACTACATAGTTGCTATGAGCAGAGACATGGCTCCTGTGCCTCAAAAGGGAGGCCTCGAGGCTGTAGCCGTAAGCATTCATAAATTAAGATTAAACCTATGTCCACCTCACTTTCTGAGCATATAAAGAATCCTAATTCTGATAACAATAGTAATTTGATTTCTCAGAACTTCCCAGTGGCATTGGCGGTGGTTCTGCTCAGTTTCTGGTTTGCAACAATGGCTCTGAAGCAAGGTAAGGCTGATCTATCTTTTAGCTGGATGTTTAGATTTTCTTTCAAATGTCGTCTAAATCTGGCTACAATGCTGAGCAGCTGGGAGTGATTATAAGCATAGGCACTTGTTCTTCTCGCTCCTGTGGACGGGCATCTGCGTGGGTGTCGCAGCACTGGTTAGGGCCAATGGACGGATCTTCTGCAACCGGCCACGTCTCCACAAACCCAGAGGCTGATTCATCTTCTTCTCCATTCGTGGGTGACCATTGTGATCACTAACTACAACACGGGGTTCAAGTCAGAGCCAAAAGTTTCCTCCGTTTATTTTTTTTCTTTTTGTATCAATGTTGGACCTTGTGACGCCATCTAGAGGCAATTGTCTCAGGTGGTTGACACCTTACTTTTTGACACCGATTACGTGAATCTTAATTCATTTTCGTTCTTTGTTTACTCAGAGGCTGATAAATTGTCTCGAATGACTACCCACAAGTCTCCCAAATTCAACTTCACCAACATGAACAGAAGCAAGAAGAGTAAAAGGACCGGTATTAGTAATAACTATCTCAAACATAATGACCTGATTCTTTGTCAAGTAGTCTTAAAAAGCACAAAGATCAAAGACGTTAACTTGTTTTCTTGGACGACGCTCTCTATCTTGATATTTTGGTTTAGACTCAAAGCTAGAAAAGGCATTCTTCAGGACGCAGTTAAGTGAAGCATATCTAGGCAAGAAATGTGTGGCTGGCTGCTCTGCGAGTAAGAGTTGCTTCACTAATCATTTATTCATGTGTAAGTCCTTTGTGACAATTTTGTAGAGTGAGGAGTGGAATTTGATGTTTATTTGACCCATTAAGCAGAGGTACTGTCAAGGATTGATCCATTTCAAAATCAATTTTTAAAAGTAAAAGATCTACCGTACAAAAATGGTTAAACTTCCTTACAAAAAGAATCAAAACTTTGGAAACAAACCAGAATAAAAAGCATACAACTTGGAATCTCTGACCTTGCTAAAAACAGAGGAACATAACAAAAAACAAAACAAAACTCTTCTTACTTTTCAGTTCAATCAGTTCCTTCACAAATCATCCAAAACGCCTTTCAGTAAATCCAACCCCTCGACAGAGATGCTCCTCCTCTTGTGTGACTTAGGGAACTCAACCCTAAGAGGCGGTTCCTTAGAGAAACAAACAACCACTACAGTAAGATTATCACAGCTATTACGTTGTAACGCTTCCTTGACCAGAGCTTGAGAGCATTTCTCAGGGTCATTATGCTGAATCAACTCCCTCCTCACCATCGTCACCGCGCACTGGCTACTCATCACATCCCAAAGTCCATCACACCCCATTATAAGAAACTCATCTTCCTCCGTAAGCACAATCTCCTCAAGCTCAGGCTCACAGCTGAGCGGACATAGCGAACCTTTAGTTCCCTTAATGTGCCAATCTCCTAAAGCTCTAGCCACCGAGAGCTGCCCGTTAAGGTATCCGTCGTAGATAACACCTCCGAGCTTCTCAATGCGCAGCTTCTCGGAAGTGCTGTTGGGTTTGTGGTCCTTGGATAACTCAATGGCTCTGCCTCGTTTACTGAGTACGGCTCTGGAGTCACCTGCGTTTGCGATGAGCATGGTTTTGTCCAAGATGAGGGCGGTGAGTGCGGTTGTGCCTGAGGATTTGTCGAGAGAAGGTGCATCAGCTAAAGCATGATCTGTTTTGACGAAGGCATTTCTGGTAGCTTTCTTGGTGTTGGTTGGGAAGTGTTTGTCTTGCGTTACAAGTTTCAGGATGTGATTCTTTGTGAATGTTGCTGCATCAATACCTCCATGTCCATCAAACACCTTCACAACACACACAAACATAGATTTCTATGATAAATAGGTAATCCAAGTCCTATATCAGATATTAAACAAAACAAAAAATCGAATATATATACATATATATGGTTTAACTCTACTTATTATTAAGTAATTTAAGAAGTAACCGACTCAAGAACAAATCCGTGAGACTTTTATAAAATTTCGATCTTAAGAACCTAAAGTAAGAACTTAATAATAAGAATAACAGTCTTATTAATATCTTAAGAAAAATCACTCAAAACCTTAAGAACACAAAGTAAGAACTCAATAATAAAAATAAAGGTATTATTAATCTATTAAGAAAAACCACTCAAAACCTTAAACTCTCTCAAACTCAATTACAAAACTCTCATAAGTTATGCAACAACCTTACATCTCTTTATATAGGATTAGGTTGCACATATGATTATGATCAGATATCAAGAATATTAAACTAGTTTGATTTTTGTATATATACCCCATAAAAAGCTCCTGTGGATGATCCAATATTGTCAGTGAGATCATCCACGCAGATGAACTCATCTTCCATTGACCGCTTTGGTCCTTTATCCGACCAACTTCCAGATCTGAACACAGGTTTGAATGTGGAGTTGTGTTCTCCTTCCGGACCACATCTCTTGTCTCCTTCCTGTAACATTTCATTTCACGTCTGATCAAAGCTACATTTTAGGAGGAAAGGGGAAGAATAAAGCAAAGAAGAGATGAACCAACGGAATCGATCAACCAAGCAGTGCTGTTGTAATGTCGCATTAGAGAAAGGTCCCTTGGAGGCTTGCCGGAGGAGCTCAGATGTGCCGCTTTGTTATCTCCGACCTCCAAGTTTTTAATCATCGGTGAAACTTCCGTCAACGATGCCATTTCCAGTTTTTTTTTTTCTTTCTTAGAATCATAATCTCTTTTAGTTATTAAATATAGAAATAGTTTTCTCCCTCCTTATTTTACTCACCAATTAGCTTTCTTGCTGCCACATGTGGTCTCCATTTTCAACTTTATTTATTTGAATACTAGGTGACCGGTCCGCACCCTGTGCGGGCAAAAAAATGTTCAAAAATTTATTATAATAGTGTATCGGTTTAGGAGTAGCTGACTACACCGTGTTTTGGAGAAACCCTACACCATGGAGAAAAGTCGGTACTCAATATTTGACATTGTATGAGAGGGTATAAAATAACGTACATGGTGCGAGCAGTTATTGTGTGTATGTATAATTGCAAAGTCTCAAAATAATTAGTGTGTTTTACGAAAATATTTTCATTCGTCATCTAATGGATTTGCTACGACTTCTTATGCAAAGAATTGACAGTTTTCGAAGTAACAGATTGTATATTATCCTGTGTAATTAGAATTATATTATATATGTGTTGTATTTTTTTTATTTTTAGGTGAATAATAGTATTATATTTAATTTTCAACCTTATTTTTGTACGCATATTAAAAGAAAATATAATAATTTTCAAAATAAGCTCCGAAAATATAAACTAAAATTATTATCCATAAATAATCTAAATTTATGAACTACAAAATCTCGATAAAGGTGTACAAAATCCATTAGACACCTGCAAATAAAAATTTTAGTTTGTAAGCCCTAAGACCGGATAAATTTCTGTGATAGATATAAAATAATTTCTGAATTTATTGTATCTGTAAATAATATTAAATTCCATACCGTCATAGAAATAGGCAAAATGATGGATGGTAATCAAATAAAATCTCTCTTCTACCTCATCAGTACCCATCTTCCAATACCTTGTCAAAAATAATATAAAAGTTTATATATGAAAACGGAAATTATTTGAAAAAGTATATTAAAATCACGTACCCTGACTATGGAATATTTTGGAAAACTTGTTTGTAGACAACATTCAATGTTTTGGTCTGCTGCTTCGATTCTTTGCCGGTTATTAGGATTTTTAATCCCTATCTCGACTTAACTCTTGAAAGTGCTACATAGAGCTGACCATGAGAGAATACTGACCTAGGCAGGAACAAACCAACACTTTCCAGAGTTTGACCTTGACTTTTGTTGATGGTCATCGCGAATGCCAATGTAACAGGAAACTGTCTTCGACGCATTCTGAAGGGAAACTTTGTGTCAGGTGGTGTGACAAACATTCTAGANTTGATGGTCATCGCGAATGCCAATGTAACAGGAAACTGTCTTCGACGCATTCTGAAGGGAAACTTTGTGTCAGGTGGTGTGACAAACATTCTAGAGATCCAAACCTTGTCACCCACAATATTGTTTCCGGTTATAATTCTACCTTCTATCACATGGGGCAGTAACTGAGTAACAATTAGCCTAGTACCATTACATAAGCTTTCAGCAACATCAATGTTACGGAGACACATAATAGGAGCACCCACCTTGAGCTTCAAACAATGTCTAGGCAGTCCAGCCACTTTAACACTGTTCAAAAACTCTACAGGATATACTACAGTTTCTTCTATGTCAACATCGGATGGGATAATACTGTCTGAGCTAAGGTAAACCTTCTCTTGTCCTGAAATTAAATGTAAATTCTTATCTTTAGTGACCTCTTATTGGTAGTGAAACATAATAGTAAATGATTGAACATGTTACCTGGCAACTGCGAGAGCATGTAATCATTTATTTTATCCACTTCATCATTAGTGGGAGTAAGAATGGCTCGATGTCTATATAAATCCTTATCTGTTGAGGTTTGAAAAGCTTGTCCATAAACCTCTTTTGCCATAGTATCAAT